GTTAGGTTACCAGATGGAGAGTTGGAATCAGGCTCATTCTCTGGTAATTTGAGAAATAAAGGCAGCATCACTTTTGGCCTCTGACCACTGCACCCGTCCCTTGTTTCTCAGCATCCTGATGCCTTCTGGCTGTGGCGAGCCATCCCTCCGGCCCTCTCCCTCCTTGCTCCCACACCCTCCTATTCTTCTCTCTTCTGGAACCTAAGCTGTTAGTGTTTTGCTGCTGGGAAGCTTGGCATTGTGCAGGTTCCTCACATGTATCTTTATCAGGTGAGCCCTGGGCCATCTCTTAAATCCCTGTGGTAGGAGGATGTCGAGGCATTAGCCACAGCAGATGAATTGTCAAGGAAGCTTCTAATGTTGTAGATAATATTTTTGGAGCGATTCTTTTCTATCCTCAAACATATCCTGGTTTCCATTGTAGAAAAGTTAAATCAGGGTCGTCTTTGTTGTTGGAATTCAGCCAGGTAGGTGGTTCTAGAACCTTCCCTCCACAGATTCTGAGTGCCCAGACATCCAAGCTCTGGGAGACCGCCACCTACCATCATTCTCAGGCTGCTGCCCTCTGGCTCCCTTCAGCAGAGGTGCTTCCCACTCCTGCTGGAGTCTCAGCTGTGCCTCCTCCCACCCCCATCTTTTCTACTGAAAATTCTCTTTCTCTATAGACGTCTCTCCCCAGTTCCTCCTTCCTCCTTCCACAGGTATTTAAAAGGGTCTAATTCTTGCCCAGAATTAAGTCCATCAGGAGATACAGAATCAGATCAATGCCCTATGCTCAATTTGGGGTGATAGGTTAACAAGAGGAAACAATTACAGAACAACTGTGAGTCATCAGGCTCTGTGATACTAACTGTAAGTGCGACCTTCCAAAATACACAAGAAAGATGTGATCCCACAGATGTGGGAAGAGACATCCACCCTGCAGTGTGCCCCTCTAGCATCCTGATGGCACTTATCACACTCTCTGCTTTACCTGTGGATTTCCCTTGTTAGACAGGGACTGCCTCCTTGGCCAGAATTGTATCTGCCCCTTTCACCTGCTCATTTCCAGCACCAAGCACAGCGCCTGGCCCATGGAAGTGCTCAAAATCCATGTACTGATTTCGTTTATCAATTCACCTTTTCTGGCCAAGCTCTTCTGCTTTTAGAGTAAAAAATTCATTATTGAATTTTTTGAATTTTTGAATTTTTTGAAAAAAGCAAGCAAATTTTTAATCGGTTCAGAGTCTAGAAAATAAAACTGAAAGGAGGAGGGATTCACCGAAATACTGAGATACTAGGGGATCCTAAAATTCTACATAATTAAAAATTAAACTATATATTATTCTTTTCCTCAAGTAAATTTTTTACTGGAATACAATTGTGTGCACAGATTACATATATACAATCTGATTACTTTTACAAAGAGAACTTGGGTGACACCCTCAGATCATGAAACAGAACATTGGCGGTATACCAACCCCCGTCCCCTTGGAGCCTCTCCATTCACTTCCCCTACAAAGTTAACTCATGTCTTGCCTTTCATTGCTATACATTAGTTTTTCCTATTTGTGAGCATTGTATAAGTGACATCATACAGTATACTTTCTTTTGTCTTTGGCTTCTTTAAATCCATGCTATTATATTTAGCAGTAGCTCATTCCTTTACTTTGCTGTATGGTTTTCCTTTATAGAAATATGCTGCTATTTATTTTATTTTTAATGATTTATTTATTTTTCTGAGAGAGAGAGAGAGAGAGAGAGAGAGAGGAGGAAGCAGAGGGAGAGGGAGAGAGAGAATCTCCAGCAAACTCCCCACTGAGCACAAATCCCGACAGGGGGCTTGATCCCATACCCTGAGATCATGACCTGAGCCAAAATCAAGAGTAGAACGCTTAAACCAATGGAGACACTCAGGTGTCCCTCAATATGCTATTTAATTGTCTACCTTATTGTTGGTGGCATTTGTTTTGTCTCTAGTTTTTGCCTGTTAACAATGGTGCTTTTAAGAACATTTTTTGAATGTCTTTGATGCCTCCACGTTGGGTATATACCTAGGAGTTTGAATGCAGGATTGCAGAGCATGTGCATTTTCAGCTTTAGTAGATATTGCCAATTTTCTGATCTGTTATACCAATTTGCACATCCACCAGCATTCAGTGAAAGTTCCAGTTTTCCTTTTTTTTTTTTTTTCCTCCAACACCTTCATATCATTGTCTTGTGAATTTAGCCATTCTGGTGGGTATGAAACAGCATGTTTTGTGGTTTTGATTTGCATCTTCCTGACGTCTAAAGGAGTCAAACACATTTTTATATGCTTATTGGCTATGTGGGTGCCCTCTTTTATGATATACCTCTTCATGTTATTTTGCATATCATTTTGGCATTGTAACATTTCGTCATGTTGTTGAAAGTTGAAAGGAGAATTCCTGTTGAGGGACTTTAGACTTTATGACCTTGGCTTTCTTACTTAAACATTATTTTTACATAAAAGGAAAAATCTCTTCAGGAGAAGATTGACATGCAAAGTAGGTCAAAGCAGAGAAGTTCTCGCAGAAGGGAGGATGAGGGGCTCAAGTCCTTTCTCATCTGTGACCCCCTAATGTATTCCACTCAACCTTGAAAACATTGCCTTATGGCAAAGATAGTTTTTAAGAACCAAGGTAACAAGTCAACCAGTAAAAGTCTTCATAAATACTTTATAACATGTTTGCTAGCACAAAGCAATAAAGATAATAGAAGAAAGAAGAATATGAAAAGCATTTTCATAACTTCACTGGGTTATAATAGACATTATACTGTTAATTTCCATTACATTCTTTGGCTAAATGAAGACTTTTCATGATCTCTTCATCCCACAGTTACAAGATGCTTTCAAATTTATTTGGATTCATTGTAGAAAATAGACACACTAAGAGAAAGTGTATGTGTATGCATCATGGGCACTAATACACACTCCTTTCCTCCAAATACTCAATGCTTTTCTTTTTCTTATTTTTAAGTTTCATTTACTTAAGTGAAGTGCTCGAACTCACAGCCCTGAGATCAAGAGTCACATGCTCTACCCACTGAGCCAGCCAGAAGCCCAGATGCTTTTTTGTTTGTGTAACTTAGGTTTAGTGATGCTTGTGTTCTGAATCCTGTCTTGACCTCATAGACACAAAAATGCTTGGATATGTCAAGTGGAAAAATTTTGCGTTAAGACTTATTTAACACAGCCAGGTAGGTATTTTTGTTTCCAATACCAGAGCCCCACACTGGTCACACTGGATGTCTACTAGTCCCTTTTATGCTCACATCATTTCCCTGCCTCCCTAGACCCTGGAGGGCAATAAAGGAGCTCCTGCCTCTCTCTCCTCCTCTTCCTTTACCTCTCCCAGAGCTTCATGCCCAAACTTCTATTTCTTCGCTGCCATCTGCCTTACCTCCCTTTTGTGTTTCCCAATGCCCCAGTTTCCCCCTTTTTAATTATTCCCGACAGGAGTCTGTAGACAGAAGAATGTAAAAGAAATATGGAAATAAATTTGCATACAACAGAATTTGGCAAAGCAAAGCAGCTCAAAGGTAGGGAGGGATGGTCGCAGTCTTTCCAAAACCATCCTCGAGCTGTTGATGGTGGTATCTGGAATGATTTTAGGTAGTATGCTCCATGAACAATATGAACAATTCCTTAAAAATCGAAGTAGTTATATATTTATTTTAGGAGTATTAATATATTTCTTTCATTTGTGGTATTCATTTCCAGCTTGATAAAAGGTCTTTTAAAATATTTAAGTTTAAGAAATGACTATATTGCTCTGGCAAAACTTGTGAATTAGTGACATTTGGGAAATATTGGATGGTTCATGTTCAATAAATCAAAACTAACTTTATTAGAGAATCTCTTCTCCCATCAGATCTAGATAAGCAGAAGTGAGCACATAATACATCAAATTCTGTTCCCCAGTGTAATACTAAGTATTATAATTTTTCTAAAAAGGCAAAATAAAACAGTCTATGACAATGCTTTTCAAGGTATAGTCACGGACCCCTGGGGCCCCCAGGGCACATTTAATGTGTCCATGATGTCAAAAGTATTTTCCAAATAACACTAAGGTGTTGGTTTTTTCAGTTATTGATATTTCCACTCTTGATGCAAAAGCATCAACATGGTGGGTAGAATGCTGGCATCTTAGGATGGTTCCAGGCCTTGGTACCAGACTGCACTTGTGGTGGTTGTAAACTTTACCACCCTGACAGAGAAAAGGAAAAGCCATTGTCACTCAAAAGTGACCTTGAGAAAGCAATAGAAATGATTAACTTTGTTAAATCTCAACACTTTAGATCTTTTTAGTGTTTTGTGGTGAAACGGGCTAGATGAATCAAACATTGTGTTGTGTACCAAAGTATGATGGATGTCTCAAGAAAAAGCAAGGAGTTGAATTAGTTCCTTTTTTTTTCCATGGGAAGCTATTTTTATTTGAAGGAACAACCGACAGACAAACACAATGCTTATTTAGACTGGGTATTTGGCAGTTATTTTCTCAAAAATGAATGAAATGGGTGCATTACTTCAGGGAGAATAACTAGTAGTATTTATAGCCAAGGATAAAATTTGAGCTTTCAAGTGAAAATTGGGATTTTAGAAAACTTGTGTAATATATCATGAAGTAGCACGACTGCTCCCTAATACCTAAAGGCTCATGATGAGATTAGCTGTGATATTTACAAATTTGATTTTTAAAAAATATTTTATAACAAAAATTGTCAACATATGAAGATCTGTGTATCTCTCTCTTTTTTTTTTCCAAATGACCAATGCATGCTGTTACAAATCACGCATTTGGTAAAAGATCCATTTTAAGTGTGAGGTAGACCAGTGAATTTTAATGTAAAAGAATGTGAAAAAAAGTCATTGTTATACTTTTGGATTATATTCTGCAACTTTTAAGAAATTACCGCTGTTAAATTTTGGTGTAGTATCAAAAAAGTATATCTACAATTACATAAACAGGCTACTAAAATATTTCTCTTTTTAACAGTGACATACCTGTGTGACTGTATGTCAGATTTTATTCATATACTTGCACCAAAACTATATACTTACGACGTTGGAAGCAGATGAGAATCCAACTGCCTTTTATGAAGCCAGGTATTAAAGAGATTTCTAAAAATGTAAAACATTGTTAGTTTGCTTAATATTTGTTTTACTTTAGAACAAGCAAAATATTTTTACTTTTTATAAGAACATTTGTTCCCATATAACAGTCCTATTATTTTTAAAAGAATAAATATTTTTAAAATGTCTCAGTTTCCATGTCTAATGCAGCACATGTCAGTGGGTATAACCTACATAAATAAAAGCTCTTTAGAATCCTCAATAATTTTAGGAGTGAAGAGAGGTCTGGGACTAAAAATTATGAGAACTAGTGTTCTATAAGAAAAGATTCTTATCCTTTAGGATCAAAACACTCCACTCCTCACAAATGGCAGCAGACTAAGGAGTGTGTGTGTGTGTGTGTGTGTGTGTGTTAGTGCTTGTGTGTGTGTGTGTGTGTGTGTGTGTAATGGAGGTGAGTGACAACATAAGATCTTGCATTACAAACATTTTAAGGGAAGGGGATATAAAGACTATTGTAAAGAAACTATTTTAAGAGAGGGCAGACTGGAGCCTGTTGCAGAGGGACGATTTCTGGTTACTTGTGAAAATGTAGAAAACTGGGTAAAACCAATGCTTGAGACAGAAACAAAGAGAAAATACAAACATTGATTCAGAAATAAAAGATATGACGAAAAATATGGATCCTCTTCCTCTTCACCATATGTTGTGGCAGGCAGCCTGTAAGATGTCCAACCAACCCCCAATGATGTCTGCTTCCTGACATTCACATCATGCCTAACCTCCTCCTCTTGAGTGTGGGCTAAACCCAGCAACCTGCTTCTCAACTAGCAGAATACAGCAGACGGGATGGGGTGTCACTACTGAGATTGGATTACAGAAAGGCTGTGACATCTATCTTGCTCCCTCTCTCTTTGTCCCTTGTCAGTTCTGAGGAAATCTAGCTGCCATGTTGTGAGTTGCCCTGTAAAAGACTCAGGTGGCAAGAAACTGGTAGGTCCTCAGGCAATAACCCATGGGAAACTGAATCCTGCCAACTACCTTGTGAAGAAGGTTGGAAATTATTTCCTTTCACTGGGGTCTTTAAGTGTGACAAACATCCTTGAACAACAATTGATTATTGCACTTTGAAAGGTAGAAGCACCCACCTAATCTGTGTCTGGATTTCCGATCCACAGAAACTGTTAAATAATTTTTATTGTTTATAGTTGTTAATTGACGGGGTAATTTGTTACACAGCAATTGATAACTAATATGTGTATATATGTAAAAGCTTCATACAATTTCAAGACACCTTGAGAATTTTTTGAAGCCCATTAATGGATAGTCTATGAACCTTGTTAATAAGCCCTGATCTAGGAAAGCATTAACAGAAAAGGCAGCAAAGGAAGAAAGAAAACAAGACCTGCCGAGTAAGTAGTAGAAGAGAAAATCTAGGCAGTATAATTAAAGACAGTTGTATCAGGGAAGCAAAACAAGAACCTAGTGCCTTAATGAGAAGAAAGTTTCACTAGAACTTTCTAGAGGGACAGATCCCTGAGGATAGCAACTAAAATGGTAAGGCAAGCTCTTTTTATCATGAAATAAAATTGGCTGGATCTGTACCCAAGAGAAGAAAAGACCAATGTTCTGTATTTAGGTGTGTGGGAAGAAAGTTTTCAACCCAGCCTTGTGGGTAGGAGAAATGTTGAGTAATAAATTAAGGAGTCTAAAAGTGGAATCTGTGGAATAAAAAATGTGCATGTCACAGAAAAGACTCTAAGTCTTTTAATGGACCACAGAAGTTGAAAGTACAGAGGTTGAACTGGCCTCAGGCATGACAAGATCGAAGGACTTAGCTGAGGTCTTCAGGTCCCTACTTATCTTTTTGGTTGACCTTCAAATAGCCAGCGATTGGGTGTGTGTGTGTGGGGGGGGGCAAGTCTGCAGGGAGAGCTCCAGGCCTTATAAAGTCACAGAGAGTGACACTCAAAAAAAAAAAAAAAAAAAAAAGACTGTCTTATCGCAGTGTCCACATATAAAATCGAGGGGAGGTGAGACAGTCCTACTTGGGCCACCATTATCTCTCGTTACCCCACAAATATATGAACTAGCACAAAGGATAATTACCTAAAGGAAAAGGAGGTGCTTGTGTCTGAGAAGGAGAAATAAAGCAGACCAGATAATATGACATATGCCTACTGCAGTCAGTGACAATAATCAGAGGCTGGAGGGCTGCTTAGTATTTAAAGTTATGCCAATGCTATAAACTTGAGACTTAAGATGGATGTGTAGTGTTTGTGTCTCAACAGTCCTTCAATTACAGGAGATTTGGACTGTTTGAATTGACTTAAGATGATGGAGTCTAATGAATAGCTCTGGCCGGGGAAGTACTGGAGAAAGGGTTTGGGGATGAAACCATGAAATCAGAGGCTTGGATTTTTAAGGAAAAATTCGGCTCTTTCTCTTTCTTGTGCGTCAGCATCTGTTGTTTTTCTTCTAGAACACAAAGTGGCTCGCAGAGCCCATATCCATTTGAATAAAGACTGAACAACCACTGTAGCAAAGGCTTAGTGCCAGATGCTCTATGATGTGACTCAGTTGAATTTCTACCACTCTCTGGAGTCCCTGGGAGAGCCCTGGCCTCATGTAGGGACTCCCAATATTTTTGGAACTGGGAATTTGATTCCAAATGGCAGAGATTTCATCCCTAAGCACACAGAAAGAGACGGTGCCGATTATTCAGTCTAGCTATTCTTAGGTTGTAAATAAAGATTTGTGATTTACTAAATTGAGAATCATTGTGAAAAACCCGGCCATTCAGCTGAGACCAACAGTAACATAGAACTTGGCAGGAGAGATCTCTTTGGTGGGCCATCTTTCTCCCCAATTTGCCTGCAAAAAAAAGTGCCACAGTGGAATTTGGTTGGACATGGGAAGTGCTAAAAAATATGTGAAATAATCAACATATGCCAAGGTAACACATTTTTAACTTCTGCAAAGTTTTTCAACTTTGTGTTGGTCACCATGATGTCCTATGGACAAGAGAAATACTAGCAGTTGACTTTAAAACTACATAGTACTAAATTTGTTTACTTTAAGAAAAGGAAATATGATTTCTAATAGAAAGGCATTCCCTTAGTTGCATTCTATGACCTTGTTCAAAGGCCAGCCCCTGCTGACAGTGTCTGATGGTTCACTGCTCGCCTTGCTTTTATGGGCACACTGCCTTTTCCTCAAAGGCCAAGGCACACTGTAGAGATACACCACTTTATCTCTCTTCTCAATACTTGAATTAAGTGGAAGCTCGTGGTGTATCCCTGATTGAAACTCAAGATGCTTCCCACCTGATATATTTATCTTGAGAATTGCATCAGACATTAACGATGTCCCTCTTTTAAACTTGGCCCTTTCTCTAATAACTACACACTTTACTCACATACTTCTGTGTTTTCACCAACAATCTATTCAGAACTAAAATAAATAATCTGAATACTCATCATATTTGCGTTCCATGCCTTGCCCGACAATTTCCATGCACACATATCCCCAAAATCACAAGAGGAAGAGGTCAGAGAAATGAAAGAGAAGATTTTTCCCCCCATAACCACACTTTTCAATGCCTGAAATTACAGGAGGGATTTGCTTTGGCTCTTCTGGAATATTTCTTCTGATTTCTGGAAATTACTACCTTAGAGATTCTGTGCAATATTGACTTTTGGGAAAGAGGGAAAAGAAACATTCACATGTCTCCTAAATGTCCTTTTGGTGGCTTTTCTGGTAGTTCATTTTGGCTCAGTAATGATTTATTGAGCCAAATCTATGCACCACAGTGCCAGGCACCAAAGACACAGATGCAATTCTTGGTTTCCAAAACATTATGGTCTATAGAACCAGAATTAAGGGAAGAGGCCCAGGGAAGTAGTGCTTGGTGACATCTAACTCCAGGGATGCCTTGTGGCAAGCACTCACATGTATTCATGTTCACATTCAAAGCCCTGTTGTTACCTTGGGCATAACTGCCCTCATCCTAGAAGTTCAGAGGTATTCAACACATGTCCCGGCCACACCAGTGGTATGTTGTGAATTAGGATTCAAGCAAGATTTACTTCCATACTGATTTTTATTATTTGGTATCACTTCCTTCTCCAGGATTGTTCAGTTTGCCTGCAACTAGGTCCTAGGAACTCCACTTCTCCTTCCCTGCCGAAATCAAAAGCTGAGAATGTTAAGACTGGTCAGAAAAACATGCTTTCCATGAGCCCAAAACCTGATCAGTTCTTGTAGTGAATTTCAAATCTCATGTGAGCCTTTTGGGATCTGGGTTCATTCATATCTGACCTCCTGTTTCTGAAGAAAAAAAATTATGATAGTATGCACACATACTCTGGCTCTCTAGCAAAGTATCGTTTTAAAAGAGATTATGAAGACATTGAAGATGCTTGTGGGGCAATAAGCAGCTTTTTGCAAGGTAAATTCAGAAGCATTAAGGAACCAGGAATTAGGAACATAGGTGCTAGAAATATTTGCAATATATCCCACAAATCTTAAATCACTTCTAGATTCACCCTGTTTTATCAGCAGAATCTTTATTCAAGCCTGGTTCACCCTATAGGTTTTGCTAAATTAGAGGGCTCAATCGCATGTCTTAGAATTAGCATTATAGAAACTGTCCCCAATTTGAGGTGGGGACAAGGTGATCGAGTACAGTTTTTGAAGAGTTCATATAAGGCACTGTATGGTTTGAATATGGATTAATGAGCGATTTGTGTTAGTAAACACAAACATAACATTCATTATTTAAACACACAGGAATAATTGTATGAATACAAGTATGTGGCATGATGGGCAATTGAGCTATTTCATGAATAATATATTAGTTAGTGAGCATTTCTTTTTATTTATTGTCTAGACTGAGGAGTGTTGGTCTGACTCCCCGGGTCCAGCCTGCAGCTGGCACATGTCCGCTGCTGCCACAGTGGCCATGAGAAGTGTGTCTAGGTTGCAAGATGGAAGCTCGTGTTTGTTTAAGAAGGAGCCTGATGACATCACGTTGGCCTCATCCTCCAGAAGGCTCAGGAGCCCGTGAAAGAGCACAGCCTTCCTGCTCCATCAATGTAGACCTAACACAAAGATTTCTGTCTTTGGGTCTGATTTCAAGGTGAACCAGGATGGAGAATTCAAGGGGAGATGATAGATTTTTTTTTTTTTTTTTTTTTTTGCTACCCATATTGGTTGGTTAGCCCCATACATGGTATTTGATTAATGTCTGGAAGCTCTAATTAGCAATGGCTAATCAGGTCCACATGCACCAGGGTATTGATTCCTGCCTCCAGAAAACTAATCTAATTGTGCTCCTTATCATTAGCAAATGGTTGGTGTATTAAAACGATGACCCATCTGTATATTGGAAATGCTACTCCATTATGACAGCTTCAGAATAGAAGCAAGTCTAGACACGGTCCAACAGTGGCGTTAGGAAAAATATCTCTGATCCTCAAAGGAGAAGAGTCACAAATATTCAAGATTAAGTTTTCCTTTTAACTTTTCCAGCAGAAGAAACCTGGCATGAGAATCAAATGCGTCCTTTGGACCACAGAGGGGAGGAAGAAAAACAGCCTTGGCTGGCGTCTCTTGGCCTCTGAAACGGTTCTCACGGGCTCTGTGTGTGCCTTCCTGCTACCCTTAAAATGCTGGCATTTGTTCTGCGGTAATTAAAGCACCTTCACTACTCCCCTCGGTGGCATTCTGTCAGAGACTGTAATAAAAAAACAGACCCCTAAAGAGTTAATAATACTGGTAATATTGGCATGTCACTAGAAAATGTATACGAAGAAAACCTGATGCAACTTATGTTTTTTTCCCCCTTCGGTTAAAAACTGCAAATTCACGTGATCAGTGGCACTTTTAAATCAAGAGCACCATCTAGTAAAGATGGCCTTCTTTGTCTCTCTACACATAGCACTAGTCTTTTTTTTTTTTTTAATATTGAAATCTAAAATGTGATCATTTGGAAATTTTCTCTAGAAAAGCCCATAGGCGCCATCACTCCAGCCACAGTGGAATAATCCTGATAGCCGTGTCTGTTTAGTGCCCCCCTGGAGCAAGTATTACCCGCTGCTGCCTTTGTGCTATCGCTCTTATTAGCTATTCCTGAGAGAGCACTTATCACACTGTATTGCCATTATTTGTTTATCTGTCTGTCTCTCCAACGAGGCTGGGAAGTCCTACAGGGCAGCGGCTCTATCAGATTCATTGGTGCAAAAACTGAATGTCTTAGGTGCTTGTCACATAGTGGTGAGGTCACCTTTCTATTAATATTGTAGATTACAGTGGGGCAGGAGCCACAACCTCCCTTCTGATGTTCCCTAGCCTCTCTGGTACCCTTGAAGTTTCTCACGGTGTCCCACATCCAAGGTGCCTGGTTGAGATGAGTCTATGATGTGGCCTCTGTCTCCCCTTCATGAGGGTCTGCACTGGGATCCCACTGTTGTCAGGCCCAGGACCACCCATTCCCCTTGGGACAGTGATGTTACTGTTAGTCTAGCATGTAGGGTGTGGTGGTGAGGTTTTCCTTCCCCTAAATAGAGGTCATTATGGCCTAAGTGAGGGAGAGAGTGATATAAAGTGGAAATCAATTTGGAGAGTCGGGTGGCTTGTAGACACAATAAGGAGTTTGACTTTGATTCCAAATGTAGCAGGAGGTATCTCTCAAAGAGGGTCATGGCTGTTGAAAAACTAGCAGATTGGTTAAGCAGAGACACCAGTAGGAAGCTATTGGAATGGTCTTGTGTGATGGCAGTGGACATGGATATGGGAAAGAGTTGGTGTGCCTTGGGACACTGAATGAAAGCAACTTTCTGATCAGTTATGAGTGAGGAAGAAAGGGAAGAATTCAATGCCACTCCCAGTTTTCATTGAGCAAACGAGTGGGCATTGTTTCATTAGAAAAGGAATATTTGAGAAAGGTTGGAGGACCAAATCAAGGGTCTTTTTTTAAAAGTTCCAATGGAGATGCCTATTGGGTAGCCAAGTGGCCAGGTTAAGAAAGCAGTTAGATATGCAAATTTCAAGTTAAAGGAAAAGATAAGGGCTAGAGATATAAATTTAAGAGTCATCAAAATAGAGATGGTAGTTAAAGCCTCAGTACTGGATGAAGTTGTAGAGGGTCAGAGTGTAGCTATAAGAAGGGAAAGAGATCTGCAACCAGGTCCTGAGGTCATTGAACTTGGGTGGCAGAAGAGGGCCAAAAATGATGTTTGAACAAGAGCATCCAGTGATGTAGGGGGAGAACCGAAAAAGTGTGCAATTTTAGAACCCAAAGGAGGAGAAAATGTCAAGATCCAGGAAGTAGTCAGGTGGAATGTGGGACACTTGCACAAGAAGACAGAGAAATAGTCATTGTTCTCCTCTTTATCTAGGCCTGGGGCTACTTCCCAGGCTTTCGTTTTGTGTTCTAAGGCAGTGAGAATAGCCCCAACAGGGTTAGCCCAATGGAACACTGTATTCTAACACTGATGAATTTCCCAAGGTGTGTGTGTGTGTGTGTGTGTGTGTGTGTGTGTGTTTCCTGGTTTGAAATAACACAATGTGTAGGAGGACACTCACATCCTAGTACAGCCTGAACTGCAAAGAGCTTTTTTCAGTTGGGCACCTTCTTTTATCCCAACGTGAGGATCATGCCTGACTGTCCTCCTCTCCTCAAGAGAAACAAAGGTTTCCTGGCACAGGGTACAGCAGGTCCATGTAGAGAAAAGGCATATTCCTGCCACTCAGTCTCTTAAAAAATAAAAAGAATGACAACAAAAGACACCAATCAACAAAAGCTTTGGCTCTACCATAGGGAAAAATTTACAATTAGACAAGGCTTTTGTTCTCATTCTACAACATGGTATTACTGTCATTTCCCAGCTTTAGCTCTGAGTAACAGGTGGGTGTTTGCTTTGCATTTGGGTAATTAAAGGTCCACCCAGGTGGTTTATGCCAAACACGGGAACAATCAGACCAAAGGTGACTGGATTTAGGTCTTCTGCAGAGTTTCAAAATGACAGATTCTGCAGCTTCCAGCTAAGTTATTTCTTCAAGGCCTAAGATAGTACCTGGTCTATTTTGTGATCAGCTACTATTTGTTGAATGAGTGAATGAACAAGAAGGCCAAATGACAAAGTGGAAAAAACACTTGATTTAAGTAGAAGATCCGGAATCTCGGGAAGATCATTTATACTCTCTGCACCTGAACATTCTTAAATATGCCATTTTATAACCCAGGAGTTTTAAAGTGATGTGTTGAAGAAGGAGTTCAACTGGCAAAAACAATGAAAGCAAATTCTATGAATTTCTCACATACCTCAACTGAAGTTAAAGGAGATGCAAATACATTCTCCATAAAATCATTAAAATCTCTCTTCCTTTTGGAAGGAAAAACAAAATAAGATTAAATCAGAGAGGGCGATAAACCACAAGAAACTCTTAACTCTAGGAAATGAACTGGGGGTTACTGGAAGGGAGGAGAGAGGGGGGACAGGGTAACTGGGTGATGGACATTAAGGAGGCACGTGCTGTAAAGAGCACTGGGTGTTATATGCAACTGATGAATCACTAAATTCTACTCTTGAAAATAATAATATGCTAAATTTTAATTAAATTGATTTAAATTAAAAACAAAATCTCTCTTCCCTCCCACCCCACAGTTGCTCCAATGTCGCTCTGTCCTCAACATCCTGACTCCCAGGACTTGTCTTACACTCTCTTAATTGTAGCTGGTGAAACTTTCATTCATCCCAGCTTGTCTATCCTCAGCACTTTTGTTTGTGCCTCCTTTCAGAAAGGATTCTACATCTTTAGGAGGGGGAAACAAGGGAGAAACTGAGCTCACACATAGAGGGTTTTCTTTGGAGGTCTGGAGAGGAGGTAAGTCATAGACGATTTTCACATGAGTAGGTTTTGCCCCATCACATATGCAAAATGAGAAAAATAATTCCTGCTCCTCAGGATTGTTGGCATGATTAAATGCGATACGACTAAGTAATCCTAAACTCCTCACAGATATATGGTGACATTGTTCTGTGTGCTGTGTAAATATTTAGTGCTTTAAGTGCAATTTTGATCTCATCCTCATAAAAGGTTAGTTTTATCTTCATAATAAGCCTGTATCTGCTTTCCTTCTTAAAAAACAAGTTACAGGGGCACTAGGGTGGCTCCATTGGTTAAGCATCTGACTCTTGATCTCCACTCAGGTCTTGATCTCAGGGTTGTGAATTCAAGCTCTGTCTTGGGCTCCAAGCTGGGAGTGGAGCCTACTAAAAAAAAAAAAAAAAAAAAAAAAGTAAATTGATAGCCTTATAAAAAGAAGCCAACACAAAACATGTCTAGAAGTAGCTTCAGATGCATTGGTAAGGTTTCATTGTCAGTCCTGTACATAGCACAGTTTAGAGTAGTGAATATCTATACTTTTACCACTCATTTAAAATAATTATAACTTCCATGTAAATTTGTGGAGTATACCTAGCACCTTCTATGAGCTCTAATTTAAAGGGCCAGATTTGAGAATTGTGTCTTAATTATTCTAATGATACAAATAATTTATCTCAATGATAAAAATCTGGAAATGCTATTCTTTCAATTCAAAAAGTGAGATTTGTGAGTTTTCTGTTTTCCATTTTTGTTTTTTTGAGATCTGATCTCATGAATATTGGTGATTCTTAGAACAGACAAAATAGAAAATCTAGTCAATTCTGTTGGTTCCCTATTGTTGTGCAACAAATTACTCTAAAACCTACTGGGTTAAAACAATGGACATGTATTAACTCACAGTCCTTGTGGGTCAGAAATATGGGGTTGGCTGAGCTGAGTGGTTCTGGCTTGGAGCCTCTGATGAGATTGCAGTCATGCAGTCTACTGAAGTGTCTACATGTGAAGGCTTAACTGGTGATGGAGGGTCTGTTTCCAAGATGGCATCCTCATGTACTATTAAGAGGAAGCCTGAGGTTCCCACCATGTGAACTTTTCCATAAGACTGCCTGAGTGTCCTCCTGACATGACAGCTGGCTTCTCCCAGAAAGAATGATTTAAGAGCGAGTAAGGAAGAAGCCACAGTGCCATTTATGTCCTAATTTTGGAGGTCATACAGTGTCACTGTGTCCACATTCTATTTGTTAGAAGTAAGTCACTAAATACAGCTTACACTTAAGGGAAATAAAATTAGAATCTACTTTTCAAAGGAAGGAGTATCAAAGAATTTTGTGGACATATTGTAAAACCAATACAAGTTCTTTGGCATAAATTGCATTTTAAAATTGCTTATATTCCAAATAAAATATGAGTTTTTCACAAGAGGGAAAAATGCTTACATTATTAGATTCTCAGGATATAGTATATAAATTTCTTTATTGGTTATGGAGAAATTGAGTTCAGAGGCATAAGTAGCTTCTTCCAGGCATAGAAAAATTCAGCATCCAAATCTGGACTTGGATCTGATTTTCTGATGTACAGTTCCATGTGTGGTCACATTGCATCTAAATAATGATAGCAAAAACAGGGCTCTTTTGCTATTCTGAATTTTACTTTTCCATCTTTTGGCTACTTACATGATCTCACACAGCTGGATTTAAATTGGAAACATTTCATGAAAAATTCGGATGTTTCCAAATATAGGAAAAATAAAAGAGCTATCCAAACCCTTCAGTACATGAGTAATTCTGCATGCTGAAT